AGGAGTTATTGCCGATATCTTCTCATGTTTTTTACAAATTTCCGAGGAACGGTTGATAAAATTGACGGTTAAAAAATATACAGTCTTCATTTTTATTGTTATTCAAATTTAAAAAAATGTGACAATAGGAATTTTCGAGTGAAACTGCATTTTTTGATTAGAAAATAATTATAAATGGGTATTACTTGGAGGCATATCTGGGGAAAATTTCAGATCGATCGATTACGATTTTTTCGAGAGATGAGGATTTCCCTGAAAATGGTTTTTTGAATATTTAAATAATTATCTGTCCTTTTTCAGCTGGAAAGACCACAAATGTCCATTCCGCTCGAATTCAAAAACGAAATTGAATGTTTTACCGACATTGTCATTATGGGGCACTCAAAAACGTCTGGAAGGAGATCAGTGTCTTAACGTGGATCTCATCGAGATGCTCCTTACTGATGATGACTAGAAGAAAATAAAATGATTTGTAATATTTATCGCATACATTTCCATTTTATACTCTCCAAATTAAATTGGAACTCCTCTGGGATTAATAAATAAAATATTTCAATCAAAACATTTTTTATCTTCCACAATATAGAATATTTATTCCCTACAATTTTGTAATAATTCAATATTTACAACATAATTAATCGAAATCAATTATTGATAGTTGCACTGCAATCATCAATGATTTAACATAATGGAATGACATGCGAACGCATTTGAAATAAAAATTCATCGGCATTTAAATTCATTATTACATTTCATCCTTCACCTGGAAATCTGTTTGAAGAACGAATACAACTGCTGGTTTCTTATATTTAAATTCAAATTTAAATTCAATTATTTCAATTAACATTCAATTCGCCTTCTTCATGAAATTTAGAATTTTCATTCTCAAATTCTCTGAAACAATTGTATCTTTTAAGACAAACAATGACATGGGATAGACACGACAATTTCGAGCGTAAGAAATTTTTGAAAATGTTTTTTTAAATTTCTTCCGTAGAAAAAAATTCCTAGATATCCTGAAACGCGAGTTCCTGGAGTCCCTCTGTGGGCTCCGCCAGTCTGACATTGTAGTGAATCTTCTTGTTCCTCAAGAGGCTGTAGGAATTATCAAAGACAACGGAATAGGTGCCAGGCTCCTCGCAGGTCAGGACACCGACCTCATCCAGTTGATGAGCCGCAACTCTGCGCACTGGAATGAGCTCCACCTTTTCACCACCCGTTCCCCTCCTCAGGACTCCAAATCTGATGTCATGGTTCTCGGATCTGAATTCCCAACTGAGAATCGATCCCAGTTTCTCCGGTACAAAATCAATTTTCATCTTGTCCCCTTTCTTCACGATCACCGTTGTGAAGTCCTCGTTCGACTGATCGAAATTCTTCTTGTACATCTCCTTAGGCACTTTTCCACCCTGACAGATCTTCGATCGAAATCGGGGATTCCCGTCGGG